CCATGCAAATTGATTAGTCAACGCAAGGGAATTACGGGTATGCGAGTCCGTTGCTATACACTATTTATTGATATAACTCGATTGAGTTGAATTTGACGTTGGTAATAATCTACTTTTGCATTATGTAATATTATGCGTACGAGGAGGATCGCGGGCTTTGTACTATGTAACGTGCATCAATTAGCTCATTTTCGCATGCAACATCATTCATTTATTACGATCTTTTGTATTCTTGATCAATTTTGTGAGAAAATAATGTAATAAGTGCACCCCTATCGTGTTACCAATGAAATTTTATTTTATGGGAACCTTATCAGCATGGACTTAATTGCGACAGCATTACGCATTATTTTGGATAATCTGCGACAGAATCTTGAATAATCGATAATAAAGGACAATAACATTGCAATTGCCCTGATTCCTCTCTCTCTCTCTCTCTCTCTCTCTCTCTCTCTCTCTCTCTCTCTCGCTACTTTAGAATAACTTTATAAATTATATTAAATAAATTTCGATGTGCAACAAACATTTATTAGTACGTGGATAATAATCTATGAGATATGTCGATTAAACCGACTATGAAAAATTATAACCACAAAATAAGAATAATTCTACAACGATAGGTCGTTAATTCAGGGTTTTAATCTCTTTAATTAAAAAAAAAATAAGGACTTTTTAATGTATTTAAATTTAGAATATACAAGGTATCTCATAATTCTTCTGTATAAATAAATTCACAATAAATCGTTTGTCGACATTTTTTATCGAAAAAAAAGGTATAATTTTAACATTTTTAGACGACTTCTTATGCAATTTAATCATTTTATTTGCAGTTATGTTCTATCGCAATAAAAATATGGCAATTTCTAGATAAGTATTTTCTTTTTTACAATAATGTAGAAAGCAATTATTCATAATTCGTATAAAACTTTAAGCGCTAATTCGATAATTTTTTTCTTTCTTTCTTTTTATATTCCTTAATTATGATTCGAAATCATTTTAAAAGCCGGACTTTACTGGCTTGACAATTGAAAGTTTTATATATTCGAGAAACTCATTGTTCACGAAGAAATGAGATTTTCAATAAAAGTATCGATATAGGCGTATATTATCTCACAAAGAAAATTCAATTTCTCAATGCAAATATGTATATTGATGAAGCAAATAGTTCAATTACCGTCTTAACTACATTGAATCTTCACGCGCAAATAGCATAAAGAATTTTATCTAAAATTTTAATATAAAGAGTCTCTAAGTCTATAGTAAAAGTCGACAAATACCGATTTCGTATGGGCACCGTAAAAACATTTTAAATACCTATTCCAATGCTCTGCACAAATTCAGCAGTAAACTTTCAACATAACCATTTTCCTGCCTTCAAATTGCAATTAAAAGTCATAATAATTCGCGTATTATCAGCAATCCGTGGCAATTGAAATTAATAATATGACATTTAAGTTTTTAAGAGCAGTAGCGCAAACGCTTTTTTTTATATTCTCTGGCTGTGCTATATTTCACCGAAATTATATAAGCAGGATGTATTAAAAAGTGGTAAAATGAAAGCTTGGAGCGGCGTAAAATTCCCCGCTCTTGGCGCTACTAATGCTGCCATTCGTCTATATATATATATATATATATATATATTTTCGTAAGCACGAAGTTTGGATGGATAACTGCGGATAACCGTTGAATACTTGCTTATCTACTACTATATTCCATCTATTATAAAGGAAATTATTGCCCAAAGAGCACGGATTGGGCACACGCTTCGGAGTACCTAAGGCTCGACGAGCGGGCAAAGGACGCCCGCAGGATCAAAGAATTCGGGCACCTGTAGAACGGGAGGGCGCGCAGGTGTAGCACTGGTTTACCGAAACGAACCACTACGTGCGCGACGTCACCACGCTGGTGAAAGTCTCTCGGAGCTCAAAGAGGTTGGCCGTTCGATTAAAATGCCATTTTCCCATCGGGCACCGCTCCCGCACCAAAATTACCCGACGCTTTTCGGTCGAACCGGCGACCTTCCCAATACACGTAACTCGAACCTCAACAAATGCTAATCGCACCTCTCACCTCTCGACAGCTCAGAATGCGTTCTGCCCGGTACAAGAACTTTCTATCCATATTTTTATGCGAACGGGAGGCGTATTTCATGAAAATCATAGTCTACAGCCTACTAAGCGTTCGGTAGACAATAGAAATGTTTGCCGAGTCCACGCCGCACTTGGTGAAAATTCAAAACACTCCCAGCTTTCTATGACTACTTTGATGCTGATTTCGTTTAAGTGTTAACATTATTATCGATACATACAAGTTGAACTGACTATACGGTATTTTAATAGTCTTATTGACATTGTTCGTTAAACTTGTCTTTCCCGAGGATAAAGTAATGCGTTCGCATCTATTGGTTCGCTTAGCAAACATTTAGAAAATGATGGGGATGCGGATGGGGGCCCGGTTGGCGAATCGAAAAATCTTAATTATAATTATCCAAGCTGATTATTGCAAAAATTTCATATCCACCAGAACGGCTCAATCTTACAATTATTATCTTTGAAACTTTGAGTTGGCATAAATAATCTTTCGGCCTCAAATGGCAGGATTCAAAGGTAAGTCTCGGTACGTTATCTCCACTCAAGATTCTATACGAATCATAGCCCATACGAGTGTTACGAAATATTTCGTAATGACTTTTATTCCACCGAGTAAAGAAACGAAGTAAGAAACGCGCTTCATATATGTGCAAATTGCGCAGGGAAGGGGAAGGCGTGCTTATATTAATAAATAATTCAACGGGCATATCGTCACTTTAGGAAGCTATAAGACCGAAACCACAAGTGCGACCAAAGTCTCGCGTAATTATTTCCAGCATTATTTACAACTCGTAGTACTCGCGCGTGTAAGTATTGCCAGCTCCTCACTCGGACTCCGTGCAACAACTTGCCAGTGTTCATAAGGAGCACTTTCTCTCGCACTCGCTTGCCCTCCTCGATCTCTTTCATTCAATTTCCTATGAGGAATCTTGTCCCCGATCTATTTTAACAAGCAAATCCATTATACGCACACAACGCAAATGCATATTGACGTTTAACGATCCGACGATTCACTATCAAAATATCGTGCGACTTACTTTTAGACTCTAAAACATATTTATCGTATGCGCGGATACAATTGACATCGATTCGATTATATAAAATCCTTAAATCCTTTGACAAAATGCCCGAGTCTTTTTCATGCATCTTGCCTTTTTCATTATAAAAATATACGTACAGTCGATCAACTCGATAAATACATATTAAACAATATAATAATAATAATAATAATAACAACAACAACAACAACAACAACAACAACAATGACGACAACAATGACGACAACAATGACGACAACAATGACGACAACAACAACAGCAACAGCAACAGCAACAACAGCAACAACAGCAACAAGAAAACAAAATATATAAACGAGTATAAAGGTAAAAGGTAAAATAATGAATTTCTTAGGACCTAAATATATCACTCTATTGTTCGTAAGCGGAAATTCGAGTTGCCTTCCGGTAAGCAATCGCGACGAGTATAGAATAAAAAGACGTAGCACGTAGGGCTTCGTCGTTCTTTAGGCGCAGCCGAGCGGTGACAAAATTCTTCGCCATCATAAACCGCAAACAAGAAGTTTTACTTGAACGAAATGAGCGACCTAGTGATATAATAAAAAAAAAAAAAAAAAAAATGAAGCTGTAAAAATCGACGAGGAGCGAGGGAAAAAATGACATGTATTCAGTCGAACAAATAAGATATTACGCTAGTAACTTTCACAGAAATCCTTGCATTAGATAGGGAAAATCTTCTCTCTCATTTTCTCTCTCATTTTCTCTCTCATTTTCTCTCTCATTTTCTTGCGATTTAACATGGTGCGAGAGGGTGCCGCGTACGGCATCGTGAACGGCAATGATGGGGAAAAATCTATTAAAGGCACTTGAATAATTTCGTATAAGCCAAGCGTTATATAAAATATGCCTGGCATTAAAGCCAGAGAAGAGACGAGAAAAATAGACGATCAATGATAAATCTATAAATAAAATCATGCCGCGAATCTCGCTCTCGATGGAGGCTAATCGTAAGAGAAAAGAGGAGCCCGCCTCGCGCACCATTTCCCCTTATTCGATCCAACGCGGAGCTACGCAGCGCGCAGGAGTTCACTCGTCACGAGCGCCTGAATATTTTCATTAGCCCCGTTAGATCGTCGAGGCGCAGGATTGCGATGATACATTCGTGTCGCTGAATATGCGAGCATCAGGGACGACAGCCGCGAAAACGCGAGTCTCATTCAAGGTCAACGCAAGCCGGCGACCGTGAATATTTAGGCCCCCGGCGAGCTGTGACAGCTATCATTACGTAGCTCTGACCTCGTTCGGGGTTTGGGGGGGGGGGGGGGGGCTGTCGAGCCGATTGTTCCTTCGCCGTCTTCTCCTTCCTCGTCTCGTCAATGGTTGTCGAGGTGGTCGGAGCCCTCGAGGAAAGAGGAAAAAATCAGAAGAATTGGTCAATGACCGTATTTTGTTTTTTTTTTTTTTTTGTTTTTTTTTTAGTTGTCTTTTGATTTTTGTTTTCGTTTTTTCGAACGGCGTTGATCGAGGATGCGTGAAAGCCTGCCCCGTTACACGTTAACGCGTTCTGTCTGCCCTTGTGAAATTTCAGATCCGAGATTTTCTCTCGTCCCTCTCGTAAAAAGCGCTCGACTGGCTTTCTGTCGGTAGTTTTCAGATAACTCGGCGATCGAAATAAGTGAAAGCGAGCCAAGCCACTCGATATATATTTACAAACTTCTCTCCGCTCGTAATACAATAGCTATTTCTAGTCGAAATCGAAGGCGGCATTCGTGTCGTCTAGCGGACTAGATCGAGCGGCCGACAATGCGCCGAGTCAAACGGTAATATGGAATTTCGATAGATAATGATAACGAGTATGATAAAATAATGATAAAATGTCGATCGAGTCACTAACCTTTGGGCATGCCGCACGGTCCGGGCGTCCTCGCATTATCGAGGAAGTCGAGGTCGTAGATGCGAGCGCGCGGAAAGGTGAGGGCGACGTGTCCCCTGGCAGCATCCCCCACGAGGCCCAGTACAAGCAAAATCGTCAGGAGCGGCATCATTATGGCGTCTTTGTCCTCTTATTAGCGGGGCTGATTGGGTCCAGTCGATCGGCGCGCGCTCCTCGCCCGGTTTCGAGGAGCTCGCCTCATGGGGCAGTAACTGCAACAAACCGGCAATTGAAATCAAGTTTGGCGAACAGCCGCGTAAGGGGTAAGGGACACCGGCTATGCGAAGTTGCGATGTGTGCGTGTGCCTGTGTATGGGGACACGAGCTGCTCTTTGTCGAGCAACTATTACAAGGAAATGCCATTGGCTAGATTAATAGAGAATGAAGGGGGGGCAGGGGGAGGGGGAATCCGTAAAGCCGGCTGTAATTATGCAAAGTATTTAACCATAAATGTGAAAGCCATTGATGGCGTTTAAGGTCTTCCGTGTTTGAAATCGAGAGGAGCTTCCTATTACATTAATGCGCCATTCTCTAAAATATTTACACGTCATGTGCTTCTGACTGTTGGCTGCTTTATGACTTCGGTTTCGTCCAGGTATAATTTTATTTTGTAATTAAATCCACTGAAAGTGTGTTATTGCAGTTTGCAACAATCGACCAACAATATTTGCTTATAATAGTTTCAAGTTTACGACTTTGCGTTTAAAAAGCCACATTGGGTATTGAACGACCATTGTGACGTAATGATACATTTGCCTATTGTGACGATACCCTCCTGCGATTTCAAAATACTTAAATTCTAGACAATTGTCAAGATAATGATCGATCTAATCGACCACGGAAATAGGGGGAAGTTGCAATTAAAATTATATTTTGCGCAACAGTCAAATTTAGCCAGATTATAATAAATAGCATAACATTTCTTAATTAAATATCAAAAACGTAATTCTTACCCTATTAATTGAGGAAAGTGATATTATCTGTAATGAGTGAAAGGGAATTATTGCAGTGAAAGATTAATTAATTAATATATGTATATATATATATATATATATATATATATATATACACACAAAGTGAATAATTGATATTATCAAATGATAGCAAACACTATTAATCGTAAAAAATTGTGTTACATTATGGCAATACGACAATAACTCCCGGTGATTATTATTGATCGCGGCAAATCAAATAAATTTTATGAATTTATAATTATTCAGACTTTTGAATCTAATTTTTCAATTTAATTTTAATTTAGATATAAAATTTTTGTAAAATTTCTATTCATTTAATACGACAGCGTAATGCGATGCACTTGACGAGCCTTTGCCAATCAATGTCGTACATACTTAATTGAAAATTGAAAAGAAAAAATTACGAGTTGTGAAACTTTTTGTTGGCACTGTAAATTTCCTGTTATTATCGAGTAAATTTTTTTTCCGAATGATAAAAACTAATCGTTCTATTGGAAAAAGGAAAAAAACTTTTCCTACCTCTAACAATACGAATTACAAATCATAAATAGTAAAATAAATATTATTAGTCTTTTATATATTCGCTTTCATTTATTTTTATTAAGCGTCAAGAGGAATATGTTTTAATATGTTTATTATTGAGAATAGCTAATTAATCTATTATTTATAAAAATTTCAAAACTAAAAATAAAATTAAAAATTTATTAATATAATAATAATTCTTAAAGGTTAATATGGTTAATAAGATTGATTCTTTCTTTTATCTTTTTTTCTTAACTACATATAACAATAGGTATTATCCAATTTATCCACGTTTGAGTTTCGATTATGCTTCGACGATTTTAATTCACACGATTGAAGTTCAAACTTAAAATCGATCGATTCTCTTCTTATCGCTATTTGTATCTTAATTGATATAAGAGAAAGAAAAACATGTTCGATATTTTTCACAGTTGTTTATATTTTATTTAAAAATATATTCTCATAATTTTACGTCTCATTCTTTATTTTAAGAAAAATCGTCACTCAGATGTAGGATGTTAGATATAATAAATATAAAATGTAGCTATTTTAAGCGAAACAAGATAGCCTTTGAAACTATATTTTTACTCTTCTTTGATTACGGTAGTGGAAGTACATAGTTATCTCGCTTTAATCCTGAATCATAGCATGGACGAGATGTGAAAAAATTCATCTTTCGACAGATTTAATTGCATCGAAGACAAGGTTTCACAGATGATAGAGCGGAAGAGGAAAAGGAAGAGAAGCGAGAGAAATACATGGATATAAGAAGAAGGAACGTCATGCGATTAAATGGCTCTAATGAAACAGGAAGCACTTGTAGTAACGCTATATAGCGGTACAATAAATTTCCTCCTTCGTCAGTGTATTCATAATGTTACGAAAGAAAATGCGTGTACTCATCGTCAATGACTGACCATCGTTGCGCTTTCTTTTTAGTTCTGGACGGTAAGTGCGAATGACTTCTTATATTTGTACACGATATCGTTAATTATCATCTGAGACTTTTTTTTCGAGTTCAAAATTGATATTAATCATGTTTAAGACAGATACATCGTCTTTGCAAATATTAAATACAATTCAATATAAAATTCTATATATTCTTTGCCTTAATAACCCATTTATTATCAATTTGCTGACAAATTCAATTCAATATGTAAATATATATATATATATATATAATTACATTAATAGAATAATAAATATAATAACTAACCGGTGTGAAGTTTAAAACTTTTCGATAAATTATACAGGAAAAAGTATTTGTTGAAATTATTAAGAACATTAATTAATTAAACAATTGTTTAGTAGTCTATGTTTTTCACTATAGCTTATAAGTTTGTTTTTTTTTTTTAGTAAACTAATATAATAAAATTTAATTTTCTCAACTGGATATTATAAGTACGTTTCTAATTTTAAGTAAAAATATTGACCAAGTTTGAAGATTACTTTATAAATTTATTTTAATATTTATGAGTTTATAGTTATAGATAATCTCGTATTTTATAAAAAAAATTGTATTTTGTAAAAAACATACTTGTACTTTCTGTTTGATTGAAAAAGAGTTTAATAATATACTTGGCTTACACCTTTTTCAATTTCACGAAAATATATACTCACACACACACACACACACACACACACACACACACACACACACACACACAATATACCGAGTAGTCATTAAAAGTTACACCAAATTAGCTAAAGATATTGAAATACCGAAACATAATAACAAACGTTAAATCAAATCTAATAAACATTTTAAATTCAAAAAAAGAAAAAAATTTATATTATTTATATTGTATGTTCGAACTGCGTTAATAATGTATATTTATACACATTATAAGAACTATTTATTTTAAATAATGTATTACGAATAATTGCCGTTTATTCTGAGTTATATATAAAGATAAAATTATATATAATTTATCCTAAGCTAATAAATTGAATGAAATATGTCAATTATTTCACGAAGAAAACAAGTTCCAAGCATTTTGATTTTACTTTTGTTTTTATGTAATTATAATTTTACAAATTACTTCTTCAATTTTAATATTTATAGGTTTGAACTGAATTACACATTCGCAAATAGCATTACAAAAGCACGGAGTTTTTTCATTCAAAAAGAAAAAAAAAATTTTTACTGAAATATGCAATAGGTTTAATGAATGGAATTACATTGCAAAAGACATTGGTTCATAAAAATATTTACATATTTAATGCCAATAATCGTTCTTAACTATATTTACGAAGAAATTATCTTGATGTTTTCAAATTAAAAGCAATTTAATTTTCTAAATCAGTATTTCAGCATTTGAAGTGACTTTGAAATAAGTCATTACGCCAAAGTCTTCAGGACAGCCAATAAATCAAGAATTGAGATTTAAATTAAGATTAATCATTGAATTATTCTATAAATGTTTTATAACAATTATTATACTTGTGTGACAATTCAAATTTCATTATACTACGAAGTTTAAATATTATATGGAATACTATCTGATTGTGTAAAAGTGACCTTAGAAAATTAGCATATCATTTTGAATGTATAGAAAAAATTTGTAAATTCATAAATGAGTCAATTAAATAGAATTTCCTAGCATTTTTACACGTTCCTAATCATATAAAGAATAATATAATGGGTAATCGAGCTAAAAAGTAGAAAAAAATTGAAAACCTCAATATCCAGTATACAAAACATAAGTTGGGAAAAGGATCGATGCAACCTGCAAGCCACAGGACTACATTGCATGAATGCCTCGCGGCCGACATAAGGAATGCGCGTTGTGTGTATAGACGGAGGGAAAGAAACACACACACAGAGAGAGAGAGAGAGAGAGAGAGAGAGAGAGAGAGAGAGAGAGAGAGGGAGAGAGTAAGAGACGTGGAGCGGCGCTACCAATCGCGTGGTCCAGGCTCCACAGGCGGCACATAGGCTCGGCCGCAGATGCCAAGGATGCCGAGGCGCCCAAGGCCGCGGATCCCTATTGGATCGACTCTTAAACATATATGCTCAACTTACACTCGTAGCCGCTCCCGTATGTGAGGAGACGCTAGCGACTGCTGTTTCGCAATATATTCGGCTCTTGTCTTCTTGTCTTCCCTCCCCCCTCCCACACCCCGACCCGCGTTGCTTACTCTCGCAAGGCGCTCGCGACACTTTGAATTTGCTGTTTATAGTAATTAGTTAAACGAAATAAGCGATTGATTCGATCGATTTGCGCAAACGACCGATTGATTAGAATTGTAAATAAAAATGGAAACAGATCCACGATACTGGGATATCGGAGTCTATGTTTTATTTTTATTCGCGGCCTATAGGAATTATCGCAAGATATGGAATTCACATTACGTAATAGAAGCAATCGATACTACACGCCACATATTTTATATCATACCTTTGTGTAACCTGTGGATCTTTACTATTATTATTATTATTATTATTATTATTATTATTATTATTATTATTGTTGTTGTTGTTGTTGTTGTTGTTGTTGTTGTTGTTGAGCTTCGTTCCTGTGAATTAAAAGTAAAGTTGATTTAAAATTACATAAAGCTCGTAAAGAACATGTTTAGTCTTCACTCGAGTAAACCTTCCCTATAATTCTTCCCTTTATGTAAATGAGTTACAGTTTCATGTTTTCATTGTAACTAGCTTATGCATATTTATACATAAACGTGTATTGTAACAGAATACAGAACGGGATTCTAGTTTAAAGGAGTCAATGCTAAACGTATCTATTCCTAATAGGTTCTTTCAAAATTTTCTTTATGTTCTCTCGTGGTACTTACTGAGTTTAAGCCATCGTAAAGGCCGGATGGAAACTATTTCCTCGTAAATACAATTTTATT